CTGGCACTCAGGCAAATAAATAAATAGGAAAACTGTCCAGGGAGCTGAGAGGGCTGAAAACAAAACGGATTCATTTGTGGCCAGCCCAGCTTCCCGACTAATTTATCAGCTAGCGCTATGAGCTCCAGTGCCAGGAAAGAGCAGATGTGGAAATACTGGGGTTGGGAAAAGAGCAGGACTGTGGCACCTACAATTTGACCTGCCATCCCCCGGGTGGATTCACATGCAGCAGCAGCTGCCTGAAGCTGTTGAAAGGAAAAAGCCCTTTCCCTCCTACCCCTCTCCCAGCCATATGCCCTTGTTCCGTTTCTTGGGCTGCCTCTGGTCTGAATGTAGGGTAAACTGATGCAGTCGGTTGGTCCACAAGAAAATGTATCCAGGGGAAAAAAGGCAAAGACTCACTCCCACAAGTAGAAATCAGAACTCAGAGTTCCAATAGTACTATTTGCTCCTTCTCTTTGTCTTTCTTTTCACCTCTGTTTTTTTCTCTTCCCTTCTTAAGACATGTTGTTAGGAAACGTTCAGCCCCGGAGGGAAGCTTCCTTCAGGAATTTGGGTGGCTGGCCATAGCAGGTCTTCCAATGGTCAGGATGGAAACAGTAAAAAAAATACTATTGAAAACAGAAAGTTACTATTTTCTTTCCTGACACTAGGACAACCGTATTCTCAGTGCTGTGTGCTTTCTAGATCTCTGTAATACAAGAATGGGGAACTTCTATTTCTGGGCACCTATGTCAGCTGATTCTCTTCCACACTTTCCCTCAAAAAAAAGAGCAATAGTAATTTCATTTATATAGGAAGGTCAGGAGGATAAGGAAGTGTTACAGGAGCAGTGAACAAAATAATTCACAAACTCAGGTTGAAGTTGGCAAATAATTTCCTCTCAAAAAAGTAGAAAGAAATTGCAGAAATATGCAAGCCTTTTTATTCAGCTTCAAAATGAAAGTTTAGTTTTTGGATATACTGACCTGTCCCACCTCAGGATTATCTAAACATATTTTAAAATTACTTCTGATTTTTTTTGGTATGATTTCTATGTGTAGAAACCCATTAAAAATTTAAAAATAAATTTGTAAATTTATCTGATGTATGGGTTGTCGTACTGAGATTTGTATTAATTTTAAAGACATGAAATGAAAATGTTATATTTAACTTAAATCTTAGATTCCTGAACATGAGATGGCATTCTCTATGAAAAAAAAAAAAAAAAAGCTAAGCAACTATACATTTGCAAAGTATAGGTCTAAACTGTAGGTCTCTGCTACAGTGGTTGTCTCTTCCTTGTTTAATGGATTCTGCCTTCACCATATCTTCTTTTTCAGGCTTGATTTGAAATGCTGGAATTAGTAGAAGTCTGTCTGTTTAAAAAGTTTTGAACTTGACCTTATTCTTTGTGAGTGGAATGGCTTTGGCTATTTTGACAGCTAATTTTTTTTCACTTCTTTTGGCCAGATGTGAGCTTCCAGGAAGTGTAGGCAACTCAAAAACTACAGAATGTCACATGCTGTAATAAATCTGTTACCTTGATGTCTTATTAGACTGAGCTATATTAATAGGGGAACAGGGATTTTTTGCTTTTGAAAAATAATTACTATTTAAACATTTTATTTAACTTACTCTTAATTTTCTAAAGTAGGACAGTTTTCAGAAGCGTGAGTGTTACTGCATCAGTGCTGCTATTGATTTAAATGAGAGTAGGAATAGGTCTGTCCAGGCTAGACAAAGTATGGACTTCATGTTTCCTAAATGTAGTACAGTATTTCTTTTAATTACTAGCTAGGATTTGTTTCACAGGAGGAAGATCTCCATTCTAATAATGAATCATTTTCCCTTTCTGTAATGATTGACTCATTATACTTTGCATGGTGTATAATTTCTGTGTTGACACAAGTGGATAGACAGCAGAAAACCTCACTCATCCAGTCAGCCTAAGATGCTCAAGTGTGATTACCCTTTAAAGCACAAGTCTACAGCACATATAAAATGACAGATGAAAACAAAATCTGAATTCCCCACTTTGAGGTCCTGGTTCCTTTAGCTTAATATTTCATTAATGATATTTTCTTTCTTTCATAGGATGGAAAGATAGTTCTGTTCCATGTCATTAAGTGAAAGGCTTGAAAAGTTCCAGTTTAAACTTGTGTGCTTTGTACGTAATATTTAGCATCTTATTGGGCAGAATTGCTATTGAAAAGAAATCTAACAGGCACGGTGAATTGTCTTTACAAAATGTAAGCAGTACTTAGCTGTACCTCCATAAAAAATAGCAGTGCATTTACCCTACACCCTGTACGCTTATCAAGAAAATAAAGATTCCAGGTTGGCAGGTAAAAGCTGCAGCTTTATTTACAGTAACCAACCATTTCAAAAGATGTCAGTGCACATTCATATATTCATTATTCCAGCATAAACGGAGACACTATAGATTTAATCCGTAGGAGTTCTTTATCGAATGAAAGGAATAACACCTCTTTTTTAGCTAGGTGTTTGGGAAAATACCCTTACAAATAGCTGCCCATTTGAACCAGTGTTTTCAACAAAGGCAACAAGGACTCTGCTTTTAATCTCTCATCTGCTCCATACTCATAGAATATAATCATATACAAAAATACATTTGAACTTTATACGTTATAAATGCAAAGGAAAAAAAAGGTAACTAATACACTTCCTGCCAAAATTCAAATGTGTGGAGGGTAAGATCTAGACTACATAGATTTTGCATTTGGGTATTTGTTTTGCGGGATGCTTTCTTAATACAGACAGAGCTGTGGACATCAAAGTACATCCTACCTATATAGCTTGCCCATTTTTGTTCAGGAATAAACCACAGCGATAGAAACACATTTTTGTCAGGTATCAGCTTTGCTATGGCACTATATGTGATTACTATATACTAATATATGCATAGCAACAAATGCTTAGAGCACAGTGAATTATCTTGAGAATAAACCTTATAAAGAGTGCTGTATCTTGTGATAAAAGTAACTGACGGTTTTGCTTTATATGGAGTACCAACTATGTTTTTCTGCCATCAGCTGGCACTGCCATTTTGAGTGCCATGCAGCTGCATCATATTATAGAAGAAACTCAGATTATAATATCCTTTTACAAACCGCTTTATCTTCCTTTTGTCCTGTTCTCTAGCTTTTATTAAAATCATTCAGTCAAAATATGTATGCTCTGTATAGGGAAAGCACAACACATTACAGTAGCGTTGCCATGGGGACTGATTATTTTTTCCTGTGTTATCTATAATAGCAAAAGCCAAAAATCCTCAATAGTAAAAAGAAGTGGCAACTTTCTTCCGTAACGGCGACCATGACTGCAGCCTGTCCATGTTAGTTTTTTTTTTTTTAATTATCTCAGATTTCACTTCTGCTAATACAGTCACAGTTTAATTGCTTATCCTTACTTTAGGGCATTTTGGCTAATGCATCACCCAGTTTCTACTCCCGAGCGGCAAAAAGGGTAGAGGCAGTACTGTCTGCCAGGCCCACTGCTGCGTTAACCCTAACCCCGTCCACAAGAGGTGTGGCTGTGGCATAGGCGCAGCCAGCAAAACCTCCATACCAGCGCCCGGGACGCTGTATGTCGCGGGCCCGAAACGTCCTGCACCCGGGCAGGTCCCCGGACGCCTCAGGGAAG